CAGGAATGGGATGGGTCTGCAATGGCCACCGTTTTGGTAGATTTTCAGAAGAAGGTTGGAATAGTGCTGCACACCGTTAGGGGACAATTACTCAATTCAAATGAGTTAATGTCCATATCGTTGATTTTTAAGCATCTCTTTCCTCCCTGTATGTGTATCTGTGTGTGTATGTGCCTGTGTGTGAGTGTGTGTGTCAGTGTGTGTGTGTGTCTGTGCCTGTGTGAGTGTGTGTGTGTATATATGTGTGAGTGTGTGTGTGTGTGTCTGTGTGAGTGTGTGTGCATGTGTGTGTGTGAGTGTGTGTGTGTGTGTGTGTGAGAGAGAGTGAGTGAGTGTGTGTGTGTGTGTGTGTGCGTCTGTTATTAGTTTAGAATAAAAGGGTTGCTTCTCCTTTTAAACCTGAAGGGTACACAATGGCCTTTTCTAAATTGGACTTCATAATATTAGGGGTTGCGAGAGCCTCACTAACAGGGAAAGAAAGCAGACAAGTTGAATTCTAAGATTGTGGACAGGTGGGGAGAGAAATAAGCAAATTCAATTTGCCTCTCTCTCGCCTGTAACACGGGTGTTTGGAGTGACACAATCACTCTGAAGTGAGCGCTGACCAATCTAGATTGATTCAGTAATTAATTGCGTAAATAAATAATGTGCAAACGATCTGAAGCTGCCTTCACGATCTGAGAGGTTCTTCACTGTTGAAATAGTATCGCAATATCAGATCGCATCTCTGTGCTATGTTAAATAAGTCATTTAATTACTTGCATCGCCCAGGTAGCATCGCCAAGCACTGAAGGGGAACAACGCAGATGGCAGATTAGCTTCAGTAGAGGTGGTACCCGCTGGGGGTATATCAGAACACTGTGCCCACACCATCTTCACCAAGTGCTGCCAACAAATGCTTGTGGGTGTGGGGCCAATCGAGCAGGGGGCTGCTTTGTCCCTGGATGGTGTTGAGCTTCTCGAGTCTTGTTGGAGCTGTCCCCATCCGGGGCAAGTGGGGAGTATCCCATCACACTCCTCACTTGTGCCTTGTCAATGGTGGGACAGGCTTTGAGAGGGGGAGTCAGGAGGGGAGTTACTCGCTGCAGGATTCCCAGCCTCTGACCTGCTCCTGTGAAATTAGGCTCATTTGGACTGCCAGCCACAGAGAGTTTGTCGGTTCTCCTCACAGCAGAGACAGTTCTGGGAGATTTTGAATCTAATCCATGCAGCGTAAACGCCTGTTTCCAGGGACAGCTCGGAGATAACTATAGAGAAATTGTCATCGAGTTGCACAGCATGGCAGCGGGCCCTTCGGCCTAACCTATCCATGCCAACCAGGTTTCCCAAACTGAACTAGTCCCATCTGCGTGCCTTTGGCCCATATCCCTCTAAACCCTTCCTATTTCATGTGCCCTTCCAGATGCCTTTTAAAGGCTGTAATTGTACCAGCCTCCACCACATCCTCTGGCAGCTCATTCCACACATGCCCCACCTTCTATGTGAAAAAGTTACCTTTCAGCTCTCTTTTAAATCTTTCTCCTCTCTCCTTAAACCTAAGCCCTTTAGTTTTGAACTCCTCTACCTTGGGGAAAAGACCCTTGTTATTCATCCCTCATGATTTTATAAACCTCTTTAAGGTCACCACTCAACCTCCTACTCTCCAGTGAAAAAAGTCCCAGCCTCTTCTTATAACTCGAACCCTCCATTCCCGGCTGCATAAATCTCTTCTGAACCCTCTCCAGCTTAATAATATCCTTCCTATAACAGGGCGACCAGAACTGGACACAGTACTCCAGAAGATGCCTCAGCAACGTCCTGTACAACCTCATCATGATGTCCCCAACTCCTCTACTCAAAGGTCTGAGCAATGAAGGCAAGCGTGCTAAACACCTTCTTAACCACAGCTGACTGACTCAGAGGCATAGAGGCACTGCATCGTTCTGATCTGGAACTGTAATTGCAGAGGAAACACAGACCTGATAGTAGCTGGGAAAAAATAGGTTTTTCTGCAGAAAGTAGGGTAGAAGGAGGAGGGGTAAGGACTAAACGATAGGTGAAGGTAGAGCCCGAAGTGAGAGAATAACAGTTAGACAGAGTGGGTAAGGGTTAGCCCAGGAGGGTGAATAGCTACTAATGGGGACTGTCAGTGGTTGACAATGGGTGGTATGTAATGGCAGACTGTGTGATAACAAGGCCTGGTTTGTGGGGGGGTTTGGACTAAGGACGTGGGAGAAGCCCTAAAGTTGTTCATATCGAGTCCGCAGGGCTGCAGGGTCCCCAAGCGGAAAATGAGGTGTAGTTCTTCCAGCTTGCGCTGAGCATCATTGGAACACTGCAACAGGCCCAGGACAGGGAACAGGGGGTGGTGGGGGTGGGTTTGGCAACTGGAATCTCAGGGTCATTTTGCTGACAGGACTTAGGTGTCCTGCAAAGCCCAGACTGCGTTTCAGTGTAGAGGAGGCCGCGTTGTGAGCATTGAATGCAGTAGGACCAGATTGTGGGAAGTGCAGGTAAAGTGCTGCTTCCCCTGGAAAGTGTGTTTGGGCCCTTGGATACTGGGGAGGTGTTACACCTTCTGCAGTTACAGGGGGAAGGTGCTGTGGGGCTGTGGGGAGGTGTTGGGGGTGAAGGAAGTGTGGACCAGGGTGTCCTGGAGGGAACTGTCCCTGCGGAAGGCGGATAAGGGAGGGAGGGGAAATATGTCCCTGGTGGTGGCATCTCGCTGGAGGTGGCGGAAATGGCGCCTGATGACCCTCTGGAGGTGGATGGCTGTGGGATGGTAGGTGAGGACGAGGGGGCCCCATTGCTGTTGGGGGGGGGGGGGTGGGGTGAGGGTGGAAGTGCTGGAGGTGGGTCGGACCCAGCTGAGGGCCCTGTCGACAACGGCGCTGGGGAATCCTCAGTCGGGGAAGAAAGTGGACATTTCGGTCCCCACCAAACCTTTGTGGAAGTTGGCCTCATCGGAACAGGCGCGATGGGGAGGGAGGAACTGGGAGAAAGGGATGGAGTCTTTACACTAAGCAGGGTGTAAGGATGTATGGTCAAGGTGGGAGTCAGTGGGCTTTTCGTCTGAGGTTAAGCCAACACCAGTCACCTCTCCCTCTCTCTCTCAGAAATTAGCTATCAGACTATAACCACCAGGTGGCACTACCTGGCAAGCAGTAGACTTGGGGTCATTGACACCTACAGCGCAGGAGGCCATTCAGCCAACGCGATCCAGTCTATCCCACCGTCCGGCCTTTGCAAACCAATCGCCATTCCCCACATGATCAAAACACCTCAACCAAACTTACAGGCCTCTCTGTCAGCACTTGTTAGCTCCTGCAGTTACGTAGCACCTCGACCTGCTGGGGAAATGTGTTACTCAGTATGGTGTTTGAGTCCATTCCCTGGCAACAGTGAAAGACTGGGCCTGTGTGAGGCTTGTACCATAAGACTCGAAGATACAGGAACAGGAGAAGGCCATGCGGCCCCCTCGAGCCTGCTCTGTCGTTCAATAGGCTCGCGTTCGATTCCACATTCCTCACGTCCCCTTTCCTGCCCCCCTTTTACCCCATGATTGATCAAGACTGATCAAGAACCTATCAGTCTCAGCCAAGTCCCTTTGAGTTGCAGTTTTCTGCAGCCTTTCTCCATCGAAATAATACTCTGTTCTCACTCGCAAGGACTCCCAGTGATTCTGGCTGGGCACTGATCCTGTGGGACTCAGGTAGAGCTTTGAATGGGGGAGCAATGAGTTGTAACCGGGATGAGGTTTTTTTTTCCCAGCCGCTGGGAGGGTCTGGATGGGGAGTGAAAGCTGGTGAAGCGTGGTTTTTGATTCATTGACCTTGATGGCGACCACGTGGCATTTTACCATCTTGCCAAGCCGAGGGTGTAGAGGGATAGATGGCATCTGGAATAGTGAGGCCTTGTTAACGGTGAGTGGGTTGGTTGGTGGGGGTGGTGGGTGAGGTGGGGGTGGTACGTGACCTGTTTTATAGTTGAGTAGTGGCCTGTTGGTGACAGGATCCAGTTGGACCCCATTGCTGTCTCGGGTTGCTACATCAACAGAAGGCTTCCATTGGCACTTGAGGCCTAGTTGCCGATGAGCTGGTACTCAGAAATTTCAAGCCTGCAGACGAAGCTGGGCAAAAGGGGCGGTGGGGTTTGCCACGTGATTCATATTGAGGATCAACGAAATCTCAGAACTGGCTCTCGGAACGGGCAGCACTATTTCTGACCCCGGTCTTTGTCCCTCTGCTCAGCAGCGTGGGTTCCATTTCCACAGTGGCTGATGTTACCATGGAGGAGACTGCTTCTCAATCTCTCCCCTCGCCAGAGGCATGGTGACCCTCAGATTAGACCACCACAAGCCGTCCCCCTCTCTCTTTCTCTCTCTTTCTCTAATGAGAGACGGTGCCCACCCCATGTTCTGGTAGGATTATGGCAACTTTTAAAATCATTGCAGACAGCAAAAATTCAGGTTGCCCCACTACAGGAAGGATATTATTAAACTTGAAAGGGAGCAAAAGCAATTTATCAGAACGTTGCAGGGCTTGGAGTGTTTGAGCTGTAGGGAGAGGCTGGGGCTATTTTCCCTGGAGCGTCTGAGGCTGCGGGATGACCTAATAGAGGTTTATAAAATCATGAGGGGCATGGATAGGGTGGATAGCCAAGGTCTTTTTCCCCAGGGTGGGGGAGTCCAAAACTAGAGGGCATAGATTTAAGGTGAGAGGCGGAAATTTAAAAGGGACCTGAGGGGTAACTTTTTCACGCAGAGGGTGGTGCATGTATGGAATGAGCTGCCAGAGGAAGCGGTGGAGGCTGGTACAATGACAACATTTAAAAGGCATTTGGACAGGGACATGGATAGGAAGGGTTTAGAGGGACAAGGGGCGAACGCAGGCAAATGGGAGTAGCTCAGTTTGGGAAAACTGGCCAGCATGGACGAGTTGGGCCGAAGGGTCCTGTTTGCCTGCTGCGCGGCTCTGAACCGGTCTGGACACGCGCTTGCAAAATGAACAAGGAAACCAATCTGTTCTCGAAAAGATCAACTTTAATGAAGGAAGAGGCTGCGCCCCCTCCAGCAATAAATTAACAAAGACTGTTAAATTACAATAAATAATTAAATATTAAACCCATGCAAATTTCCGGACGCAACATAATGTGAAAGCAGAGCAAATATTGCCACTAGCATTTCACTTGGCTTTTACAATTTCATGTCAAAGTGACAATTTGATCAGCTAAAGACTGTAACCCATTTGTTCACAATGGATTGAATATTCTGTACTCAGTACATACACAGACTCTCTAAATCAAATCTTTTCTGATTTTGGGGTCTAAAACACGCGTTTTTGGTTGGGGGGTTGCAGCGTGGCGCAGGGTTGCAAAGATCTTAATCAGCTGTGAAGATGGTGACCCTTTTGCTGCTCCCCTTGACATCCATTTCAATGGGTTGGCCATTTCTCTGTGACGTGCTGATGTACCAACCGCGGTACATGGCTGACTCCAGCTCAAAGTAGAGACCGGCGCTCCCGGCTCGCTGAAAGAACACGAAACGGAGCAGGTCGGTGGTGCTGCTGATGTTACGGAGATTCTCGTCCCACTTCTGGGCAAACAGAGAGAGAGAGAGAAAAATAGAGGGGTTTGATGTAAATATGATCGGGTTTGAGAGAGAGAGAGAGACAGCTGCCTTTAATTCGCCAGCTGGTTTCCCGATGACAGTTGGCAGCTTTGAACCTGCAGGATGCTGGAAGGATCGATTTTTATCCCCTCCCTTTCCCTTCCCGGGAGAATTCAGGGGGGTGAGGCTATCTAAGTTTAGAAAAGGGATCTCGATAGATTTGGCTAGAGGGCGGAGGATTGGCAATTGGGAGGTTAATGCAGCGAGCTGTTGCATTGTGGGACGACACAAGGGCCTACACAGTTAATGACAGGGCCCCTGGGGAGTGTTGTCCAATGGAGAGACTTAGGGGTGCAGGTACATAGTTCCTGGAAAATGGCATTGCAGGTAGACAGGGCGGTGAAGAAGGTATTTGTTACTTTACTAGTCAGTGCATTGAGTATAGGAGTTGGGAGGGTCATGTTGCGGATGTACAGGACATTGGTTAGGGCCACTTTTGGAATACTGCGTTCAGTTCTGGTCTCCCTGCTGTAGGAAGGATGTTGTGAAACTTGAAAGGGAGCAGAAAAGATTTACAAGGATGTTGCCAGGGTTGGAGGGTTTGAGCTACAGGGAGAGGCTGAATAAGCTGGGACTATTTTCCCTGGAGAGTCAGAGGCTGAGGGGTGACCTTATAGAGGTTTATAAAATCATGAGGGGTATGGATAGGATGAATGGTCAAGTCTTTTCTCCAGGGTGGGGGAGTCCAAAACTAGAGGGGCATAGGTTTAAGATGAGAGGGGAAAGATTTAAAAGGGGACCTGAGGGGCAACATTTTCACACAGAGGGTGGTGCGTGTATGGAACGAGCTGCCAGAGGAAGTGGTGGAGGCTGGTACAATTACAACATTTAAAAGGCATCTGGATGGGTACATGAATAGGAAGTGTTTAGAGGGATATGGGCCAAATGCTGGCAAATGGGACTAGTTTAGTTTGGGCAACTTGTTTGGCCTGGATGGGTTGAGCCAAAGGGTCTGTTTCTGTGCTGTATGACTCTAGGATACAGCTGAGAGCCTTCGCAGGTGGTACCGCCCTCGCCTCTGGACCTGAAGCCTGGCACTGCCCAGCCCGAGGACAAGATAAGTGGTGGGTGCCAATGCTGGAAGAGTTCCCTCTTTGCGCCCTCCCTGCCCCCATCACCGCGACGCTCTGGACCACGATGCGCCAGCACAGGAAGAGGTGAACATGGCCACACTAACCCGGGGACAGTACGTGACCTCCTAGCAACGCACCCTTTAATGGTGAGATTCATCTTACCTCGATCTTCAACGTGGGTCTTTCTTGTGGCCCTGTGCACGTGATGAAGAGATTCTGGCTGTTAAGCCCCAGCACAACGGGCAACAGTTCCGGATTGGTCCCTGTTGACTTATAGTATCTCACATCCAACTGAACTGCATGTGGAAGAGCCAATATGTTAGCACAGCAGGCAACAAAACATGGAGAGGAATGGGGAGGGGTCATGAGGGAGTGGTGGTTAGAAGGGAGTCGGAAAAAGGCAGATAGAGTCATATAACACGGAAACAGGCCCTTCGGCCCAACTCGACCATGCCGACCCGGTTTCCCAAACTGAACTACTCCCATTTGCCAGCATTTGGCCCCTATCCCTCTAAACCCGTGCCCCCATCCTGATGCCTTTCAAATGTCGTCATTGTACCAGCCTCCAACCACTTCCTCTGGCAGCTCGTTCCATACATGCACCACCCTTCGCGTGAAAAGGGTTGCCCCCTGGGGGCCCTTTTAAACCTTTGCCCCCTGACCACACCATCCAATTGCGGACAACCCTACCCTGGGGCAAATCTGCACCCATTCATGGAATGACCCTCCTATCCCCAATTGCCCGTTGAGTGGGGAGCGGCTATTTCAGAGTTGGGTGGGGGGTGGGGTCTGGAGTCACATAGACCCCCTGATCGGGGTACGGGCACACAAGCGAACCAAGATGGGGTTTCCCAAACCCCCTGCCACCCCCTCACCCTACCCCCAACAATGGATAACTCCGGGCAGAAAAGGTTGAAAATCCCGTCAGGTTACCTGCGTCGGCTGGTCTCTGCAGGGAGACGGCCAGGAGTTGGAGATTCTCCGAGAGGATGAGGGAGCGCTCGCGGTCGTCCGTGAAATGGTGCTTCTCGCTCCGCATGAACCTGAAAAGGCATGTGGAGCTCCCAGCAGTGTCATGGGTGACGCAAGGGTCAATATCTGCGGAAAAGGACGCAAAAGCATTAATATTGGGAGCGAGGTTTGGGGGGGGGGGGGTGGTGGGGACACAGGTGGTGGTGGGTGATGATGCAACACGTTTTTCGTTATATCGATGGTGGTGGACAAAGTGGGGTCTTGTATTGATCGTCGCTGAGCCCGAGACAATTACAAAACAAAAAAAGAGACACGGCGCCAGGGACCCGGGTTTGATTCCACCCTCGGGGTGACTGCGTGGGGTTTGCGCATTCTCCCCTGTGTCTGCGTAGGCTTCCTCCCACGGTCCAGAGATGGGTGGATTGACTGTGCTAAATTACCCATAGTGCCCAGGGATGTGCAGGTTAGGGTGGAT